CGCACTCCAGAGCCACATACGACGCCCCGACGACAAGAGTCTTCCCGGGACAGTAGGGCAATGAGAACAGGTCATCGCTGCGAATAATGAACAAAACCAGTGAGGACACGCAGACAGATCACGTTTCCTCAAAAGTTCAGACGTACAGTTAAACATCATAAACGCTGCCAAAGAGAAAAGTCAATATACTGAAAACCGCAGAGGCTTGCCAAACACCTGCTATTCACTTCCTTATCAGATAAAAGATGAATGAACCATCAGGAAATCTCAGACGCGAGTCATAAAGCAACACGCATGCACTCATCAAAGGCCTAACTCTATTTGAAAGTTAACATCACTACAGCCTTGTTCAGACTGCTAGTTCAAATCCGATTTCTGTGCATATCCGATTGGAATCTGATCATATTTAGCAAGTAAGAACAGCCAAAAATGTAATTTTTTTTACAATGGCCAGATTTGTACACATCCGTTTCAAGCTACATTCATGTGTGGTTTGAAATCCTATTCAAATCCATTTCTGGAAATCCGTTTCCGTCGGACCGCTCAGATCGGATTTCACGGATTGTCACTTTCTCACGTAAAACGTAAACGCATCTGACATCTTTGCAGAAACAAGGCTGTGTTGTTGCAAACTGCAAGTAACGAGGAGAATGAGAATATACTGCTGCTCTACACACCTCTTTGAGTTTTGAGACGGCAGCACAGAAAAAAGCCACACATTCCAGCTTTCCTACGTTTCTGCCACTTCCTCATAAAACATAATATAATCCAGCGTGCCACGGCAACAAGTTATCATGTTTTAAGACAACATCTCTTTTGCAAACTGTATTGCTGTTAATGTTGTTTTTAGCATAGGCAAACCAATGCAACGTCATTGCCAAAGAAACCAATGCAGATATTCAGTTAAACAAAAAACAAATCAGATCTGAACTGTTGCGGTGCACAGTGTGGACAGTCAATCATTTAGATCGGATACGCAAATAATCAGATTTGGACTGACAGTCTGAACAAGGCTTATGCCATACTCAGCCCAAATGAGCAAATGTGCAAGTATGTTATTTAAAAACAAGTAACCACACGACCATCATACAGAAAGAAATCCTCCTCTTATTTGGCACATCATTCAGTGGAAGCTTTCCTTCCCTTGGTGACTCTGAATCAGCTTTAAATCAATAAATCCTGTAAATAAATCAGCAACGACCCCCCGAGGTCCAGCTGTGTTTATCCGGCTCTCCAGAGGGAGTTTACCGCGGTGAACTCAGAGTCTTATCTCACCTGGTGATGCAGTACTCTTTGTCTCCAGGGATGCCCAGATAACGAGGCCTCTCTCCCGTCGCCAGAACAAACTTAGCGGCAGTGTAGAACATCTCTTTCCCACGCTTGTTTGTGGCCTGTTGGGAAGAGAAAAAAGTAAGACGAGGGCAGGTTTTGGCAGACTGTGATTTGCAATGCAACAGGCAACTTTTAGCATCTGATGCTGCTGCCATTTAGATTAAGTAACAAGAAAAACCAACACGCACAGAAACAGCAGCTCTTCTATCCTGAGCAATGTCATTAAGGCATATTTTCCCGTTTGTCCTCTGAATTTTAAAGTCACCAAACGTGAAAGATTGCTGTTAATTCTCTGTTTGCTGGAAGCTTAACGTGTAATTGCATGCTCTTGGAAAAAAGAAGAAAGTCTTGGCGTGTCTCAATGGATAAAGCGGATGACCTCATGCCTTGCCTTAGAAAAGATTACCTATTTTTTGA